CTAGGATCTTGGAGAAGGCAGGGATGTTAATTATACAGTCTAATCTACAGTGTATGAATTCATGAACGAATTTATTAAGGCAGATTGGTAGAAAAACGATCGTTAATGCTAATTTTCAGTAACAGTGGAAAGTGTTCTTAAGGGAGACTGTTGTGCAGCTGCATGCCGGGAGTTTAAAACACGTCATTAAAAACACTTTCCAACTACAAAACTTAAACACAAAACCAGCTCTGAGCACTATTTCTAGGTTCTCAAACGACTAAATGATGCGAATTATAACTCCTCAGAGCTGATCCCACTCTACATTAAAAAAACTTTCCAACTACAAAACTTAAACACAAAACCAGCTCTGAGTACTATTTCTAGGTTCTCAAACGACTAAATGATGCGAACTATAACTCCTCAGAGCTGATCCCACTCTACATTAAAAACACTTTCCAACTACATAACTTAACCACAAAACCAGCTCTGAGTACTATTTCTAGGTTCTCAAACGACTAAATGATGCGAATTATAACTCCTCAGAGCTGATCCCACTCTACATTAAAAACACTTTCCAACTACAAAACTTAAACACAAAACCAGCTCTGAGTACTATTTCTAGGTTCTCAAACGACTAAATGATGCGAATTATAAATCCGCAGAGCTGATCCCACTCTACATTAAAAACACTTTCCAACTACAAAACTTAACCACAAAACCAGCTCTGAGCACTATTTCTAGGTTCTCAAACGACTAAATGATGCGAATTATAACTCCTCAGAGCTGATCCCACTCTACATTAAAAACACTTTCCAACTACAAAACTTAAACACAAAACCAGCTCTGAGTACTATTTCTAGGTTCTCAAACGACTAAATGATGCGAATTATAACTCCTCAGAGCTGATCCCACTCTACATTAAAAACACTTTCCAACTACAAAACGTAAACACAAAACCAGCTCTGAGCACTATTTCTAGGTTCTGAAACGACTAAATGATGCGAATTATAAATCCTCAGAGCTGATCCCACTCTACATTAAAAACACTTTCCAACTACAAAACTTAACCACAAAACCAGCTCTGAGCACTATTTCTAGGTTCTCAAACGACTAAATGATGCGAATTATAAATCCGCAGAGCTGATCCCACTCTACATTAAAAACACTTTCCAACTACAAAACTTAACCACAAAACCAGCTCTGAGCACTATTTCTAGGTTCTCAAACGACTAAATGATGCGAATTATAACTCCTCAGAGCTGATCCCACTCTACATTAAAAACACTTTCCAACTACAAAACGTAAACACAAAACCAGCTCTGAGCACTATTTCTAGGTTCTGAAACGACTAAATGATGCGAATTATAAATCCTCAGAGCTGATCCCACTCTACATTAAAAACACTTTCCAACTACAAAACTTAACCACAAAACCAGCTCTGAGCACTATTTCTAGGTTCTCAAACGACTAAATGATGCGAATTATAAATCCGCAGAGCTGATCCCACTCTACATTAAAAACACTTTCCAACTACAAAATTTAACCACAAAACCAGCTCTGAGTACTATTTCTAGGTTCTCAAACGACTAAATGATGCGAATTATAAATCCTCAGAGCTGATCCCACTCTACATTAAAAACACTTTCCAACTACAAAATTTAACCACAAAACCAGCTCTGAGCACTATTTCTAGGTTCTGAAACGACTAAATGATGCGAATTATAAATCCTCAGAGCTCCCACTGCGTAAGATTTTTATAGCCGGTAAACTAATTAACCGGCTAAAAATTTATGCTGAGACGGCTATTATGTATTATCGTAACGACATGACCACGGCCGTTAAAATGCTTATTAGTTGACTGTTTATAACAGCTGCTCTACATTTGTGCGCTCTATCATAAGGTTGTTTCAGAGCTGCTAAACTCCGGCTAATATAACAAGCCTTTTTATATAGCCATTTAAGAAGGAAAAATACTTAGCACTTTACAACCAACAATCACTGTTTTTAATGTTTTAAACCTTTATAATTATAGCGAGTCGGCATATTACAATTTTACCGAAGTCAATTATTTGTACTTATATAAGTATAAGAGTTAAGACTGCAGCATCTTTAGTGTTATAAGTATAAAAAGCAGAAAAACACGCCACATGAGGTCTCAAAATATAGTTAACAGTAAGATTTTTAATCTGCCTGCACGACGCACGTGAGATGGGCGAATGTTTTTTATTCTTCTTCTTTGCAGGAAGTGGTAACCTGTTTTTATAGTCCCTCTAGTTCTTTTTGTTACGCCACTGCTTGTTGTATTTCCTGCTACCACTGCTTATGTGTTCCGGCCCTGTTAGGGTTCTTGGACAGCCAGGACTGTTTTTTTTCTTTGCTCCTGATAAGATATTTATGAAAAATAAAATAAGGAGGAAAGGAATTATTCAACGTTTCAATGTGACAACATCGTAATCAAACGTGGGATCAACAGAAATTTTACCCACATAAATAATATTGAATTCGGATTTCACATATAATAAGTAGCTAAATAAAGTAGTGTTTAAACCAAATTAATTGATGAGTACACCCGTCTTATTATATGCTATAGATTGAGTTATACAATATCAATATATACATGTATGCAGAATTTGATATGTATGAATCATGATCCCACCTAATTTGTGAATGGAAATTATTGCGGAATCGAAACTTTTTTTTAAAAGTTTTGATTCCGCAATAATTTCCATTCACGCGGTAAATCAGGGTTTTACTGTATTTAAAAATACAGTAAAACCCTGATTTACCGCGGAGTTTGGGGGAAAGGAAACATCCGCGGTAAATCGGGGTTCGTGGTAAATCGGGGTTTTGTTTGTTTACATTATACTAATTGTATCGATGGAAATACGTTTGGTCAAAGAAGAGTCAACCTAAAAGTAACAATTTCATGATAGTTCAGTACACTAATTATAAGTATGTTGAGGATATCAACCTTAACAAGATTCTGGAAGACCCTGACATCATGAGAAGTTGCCCACTTGGAGATACAGCGGCTACCCCTACTGTATCCAACAAGTACCCAGCTAATATTCGTTCGAAGATAGTCAACTATCGTCAAACGCATGAAGCTAACTTAGATCATCAGCAGCTTGTTTGTGATTGTGTAAGAAGTCAATTCAAGGATAATCATCATCAACATGTCGTGACTGGAAATTTGAACATTATTGAAAACAGCGATCTTAGAACTCTTCTCAAGAAAGGTCTCAATTTTAGAGATCAAGCATTTCCTGACAAACAGAAAGCTCTAGAAGCAGTTAAAAAGGCTCTTAATTCTTACATTAAGAAAAAGAGCTCTAAAACTTGTCGACCTGAAGTGATGTTTAGTAAATGGAAAGCGAGTATTTTGGACAAGCTGTTAAGAATAAGTTAGAGGACTTTGGACCTAACCTATCAGTTAGCCACTGAAACGGAGGAGGAAATCATTCTCAGACATGCAGACTTCCTCAAGTCTCATGGAATTAAAATCAAGTCTGAGAATAGAAAGCTTCCATATCTGTATGGTAAAAATGCACAAGGACCCTATTAAATTTCGATTCATTACGTCTGGAAGAAATAGTTCCTTGCAGCAGTTGTCTGTAGCTGTTGGATTATGTTTGAAAACGTGTCTGTAAGTTGCTAAAAATTATTCTAAATATACAAATAATTTTTATCGGAGGAATGATTTTTATGTAATTGATAACAACAGTGACGTTCTAGATTTTATGTTTGGAAATAATTTTATTTCAGGAAACAAAAGTATTTGCACTTTTGATTACAGTACTTTATTTACGTCAATCCCCCGTAATCGATCTAACTAAATTTGCAAATAGAATTTTTGATATCAAAGAAAAGAAAAAGAACATAATAATTGTATTTATGGTCATAGATCAGACAAGGCTGGTCGGTCGGAGGTTGGTCGGAGGTCGGTCGACCGACCTCCGACCGACCTCCGACCGACCTCCGACCGACCTTCGACCGACCTCCGACCGACCTCCCACCGACCTCCGACCGACCTCCGACCGGCGCCCGACCGACCTCCGACCGATCTCCGACCGACCTCCGACCGACCTCCGACCGACCTTCGACCGACCTCCGACCGACCTCCGATCGACCTCCGACCGACCTCCGACCGATCTCCGACCGACCTCCGACCGACCTCCGACCGACCTCCGACCGACCTCCGATCGACCTCCGACCGACCTTCGACCGACCCCCGACCGACCTCCGACCGACCTCCGACCGACCTCCGACCGACCTCCGATCGACCTACGACCGACCTCCGACCAACCTCCGACCGACCTCCAACCGGCGCCCGATCGACCTCCGACCAACCTCCGACCGACCTCCGACCGACCTCCGACCGACCTCCGACCGACCTCCGACCGACCTCCGATCGACCTCCGACCGACCTCCAACCGGCGCTCGACCGGCGCCCGACCGGCGCCCGATCGACCTCCGACCAACCTCCGACCAACCTCCGACCAACCTCCGACCAACCTCCGACCGACCTCCGACCGGTGTTCACCTACCGCCGACCGGCGCCTGACCGACCTCCGATCGAACTCTGACCGACCAGCCTTGTCTGATCTATGACCTCCGCTACTGCAACTGAAGAAAATATGAACGTAAATGTTTTATTCAATTGGAATTAATTTCGTTGGTAAAATGTAAATTTTGTATCATTAATGTAGCATATACATTATTTTAAACTAATTTCTTATTTCAGAAGCTGAAGATGCTAAAAAGGCTTCTGTTGCTAAGAAGGCTGCTGCCGCTAAGAGGGCTGCTGCTGCTGCTGCAAAGAAGGCTGCTGCTGCTGCTCCTAAAAAGGCTGCTGCTGCTAAAAAGGCTGCTGCCGCTAAGAAGGCTGCTGATCTTAAAAAGAGCAGCAAGTTTCTTAAAAAGAGCAGCAAGTTTCTTAAAAAGCAACTTGCTGCTGCTAAGAAGGCTGCTGCCGCTAAGAAGGCTGCTGCTGCTAAGAAGGCTGCTGCTGCCAGAAAGGCTGCTGCTGCTAAGAAGGCTGCTGCTGCCAGAAAAGCTGCTGCTGCTAAGAAGGCTGCTGCTGCTAAGAAGGCTTCTGCTGCTAAGAACGCTGCTGCCGCTAAGAGGGCTGCTGCTGCTGCTGCTGCTGCTGCTGCTGCAAAGAAGGCTGCTGCTGCTGCTGCTAAAAAGGCTGCTGCTGCTAAAAAGGCTGCTGCCGCTTTTAGGGCCTACTTTATTTATACTTTTTCTTAATGACATTACAGAGGATTTGTCACCGGAAACAAATATAACCATGTATGCTGATGATACTAAAATATGGCGTAGAATCACGTCCCAGGATGACCATTGGCTGCTCCAGCGGGATATTAACAGTCTTCAAAATTGGGCTCATCATAATAAGATGGTGTTTCACCCTTCAAAAAGTCACGTTCTTTCTATTACCCGAGCATATTCTATGAATCGTAGTGTTAATTTTGTGTACTCAATGAATGAAACGGCTATCGAATACACAGATATTGAAAAAGATCTTGGAGTACATATCAATAGTAAGTTAGATTGGTCACATCACTGTGATATGATATACTCTAAGGCTAGTCAGAGGTTAGGCCTTCTAAAAAGAACATGTTACTTCACCAAGAACACTAAAAAACGTCGGGCCTTCTATCTATCTCAGGTTAGAAGTCATTTCGAACACTGCACAATTGTCTGGCGGCCTCATTCAGAAACCTCGGTGGAGAAACTTGAATCGATACAAAAAAGAGGTATCAAGTGGATCCTAAATGATATTTACTTGAGCCTTAGGGACAAAAAAAAGTATTTCATAGCGTGTAAGGAACTAAATATCCTTCCACTCTCGGTGAGGTTTGATTACAAGGATATATTATATTTTCATAATATTTTTTATGACATGTCAGTTGTGACATTTCCACCTTACTTACGACGTTTCATGGGAAGTAGGTTAAGGCGATCACATCTAGACGATCTCAGTATGATTAGTGACATTTCTCCTCAAGTTCCACAAAACCTTACGTCAAGCCAGACCAGATGTTCAGGCATATCTAAGTCTTACTTTTACAGAGCACACATTCTTTGGAATAAACTCCCTTATGAATTAAGGGAAATCTCAAGGCCATCCGTGTTTAAAACCCATTTAATTAAGTACCTCTGGACAGTTCTAAACGACCATATAACATCCTCTGACAGTTAAACAATTTACCTTAATGTAACTATATTGTCTAAATATAAATTGATAAAAAGTATAATTAATAAAATATGTTAAATAAAGTGTGTGTGTTTATAATTATGATTTATGGTACATTGTTATTTATTATATTTATATTTTAGGCTGTAACCTTATTAGTTCAATGGAATAAACCTAGCATGCCTTGGTTGCAGCATCGCTTCACTTATAGGTGCATTTAGGGCCCGATGTAATTGCTATGATCAGTTTACTGGTCAACTGGTGTTTCGGTGTCCCTTATTTTGTTTACACTCGGTCACTTGTCAAGGCATGTAAGGTCATTCGGCGATATTTTCTTTGAAATAAAATGATGTATTTGTGTAACAATTTGAAAGTTTATTGATAAAAAAAAAAAAAAAGGCTGCTGATCTTAAAAAGAAACTTGCTGCTGCAAAGAAGGCTGCTGCTGCTGCTAAAAAGGCTGCTGCTAAGAAGGCTGCTGCTGCCAGAAAGGCTGCTGCCGCTAAGAAGGCTGCTGATCTTAAAAAGAGCAGCAAGTTTCTTAAAAAGAGCAGCAAGTTTCTTAAAAAGCAACTTGCTGCTGCTAAGAAGGCTGCTGCCGCTAAGAAGGCTGCTGCTGCTAAGAAGGCTGCTGCTGCTAGAAAGGCTGCTGCTGCTAAGAAGGCTGCTGCTGCCAGAAAAGCTGCTGCTGCTAAGAAGGCTTCTGCTGCTAAGAACGCTGCTGCCGCTAAGAGGGCTGCTGCTGCTGCTGCTGCAAAGAAGGCTGCTGCTGCTGCTGCTAAAAAGGCTGCTGCTGCTAAAAAGGCTGCTGCCGCTAAGAAGGCTGCTGATCTTAAAAAGAAACTTGCTGCTGCAAAGAAGGCTGCTGCTGCTGCTAAAAAGGCTGCTGCTAAGAAGGCTGCTGCTGCCAGAAAGGCTGCTGCCGCTAAGAAGGCTGCTGATCTTAAAAAGAAACTTGCTGCTGCTAAGAAGGCTAACCCAGCTGCTGCTCGTGCTGCTGCTGCTAAGAAGGCTGCTGCTGCTAAGAAGGCTTCTGCTGCTAAGAAGGCTGCTGCCGCTAAGAGGGCTGCTGCTGCTGCAAAGAAGGCTGCTGCTGCTGCTAAAAAGGCTGCTGCTGCTAAAAAGGCTGCTGCCGCTAAGAAAGCTGCTGATCTTAAAAAGAAACTTGCTGCTGCTAAGAAGGCCGTGCTGCCGCTGGCTAGGAAGGCTAGAAGACACCACGGACAGTAAGAACAGTAAGAACATAACGAAACTACAAAGAACAAGTCAACGACTGAGGATAACAACACTCTACCGTTGTACTTTATTCGAGATGATGGAACACTTACATTTTCATTTGTCAACTTTTTGTGGCATATCTGTATGTTTATATTCATTTGAGATTGTGAAGTAAGCTGTTCAAACATTATGCATTGAATTTTGTGTGTCTTACTTGTCATTTTCGCCCTTGAATTTATATCCAGGGAAGTTGGTCGTTTAGCTCCGGACAGTCTATGCAACGTCCATAATTCAAATAATATCATATGATCATTGATCACACTGCGTTATTCCCTTCGAACTCCTTTGACTATAACTACTGATAGACTAATCTGGTGAATTCGTGTAGTGTTATTGAGTCTCGTGATTTGATAGTTCTTTTATTCAAATTTCTGATTTTTTCTGAATAGACTCAGTGAAGACAAATTCTAATGAAAATAAATAGCTGAATAACGTATCGACATTTCTACGTCATACTCATATTCTCAATAAATGTAATAAATTTGTAGTGTTGTAATTAGGTTAAACTAATTACAACACTACAAATCTATTACATTTATTGAGATTAAGAATTTGTCTTCACTGAGTCTATTCAGAAACAATCAGAAATTTGAATAAAAGTACTGATAGACTTACCTTATCGGACCTTATTTGGACGGACATTAAATGAACTGACATAATTATGAACGGACGTCGGACATTAAGATGAACGCTAGAAGGCATTCAAAACCATCAAAAATCCGACGTTTTTTTTTTATTTCAGCAAATGATTTTTAAATCCATTTTGTATACAGTATATCACTATAAGTAAGAAAAGCAGTCGTTAAGCAGTAAAAATGTTAAAATATGTGGACACTGTACATGATCAGTGTCTAATATCACGTATCATCTTCGTCAAATGGGTTTTCGTGCATGAAATAGTCCATGCATAAAGCATCAGTGATTTCTAGCTTCATGGAAAAACTTTTTTATCAAACTACCCCGGTCCTGCATTTTAGTGTTAACTTTACAAGCCATTCGGCGTGAAGTGGTTTTATCTTAGACAACTTTAGGTAAACCTTAATCACTTGGAGTTTTCCTAGCACTGTTTCATTACCTCCCCTGAGTAATATGAACTATAACAACGTCGGACAATGTCCACGATTTACCGTAATATCTAGAGGCTGGAAAAAGTTTGTCATGTTGGCGGGGACTAACTCATGAACTATGTTGTTGAGTGCCATAATTCCGTTGACTTTTTCTGCCAAGTGACCCTTGAAAACATCATATACTAGTTAGGTTTTCTGTGCCTCTGGCAGACCAAGGAGAACCTTTCCTTCGTTGACTTAAGGCACAATAAAGTTCTCATAGTTGTCATATTCTGGACAAAAAGTTCAAAGTGGATACATGTTTGAAAACTTGGAAACTTGGACGGACCTTAAATGAACGGACTTTATTTGAACGGACATTAAGATGAACGTAAGGGCCTCCAGCGTTCAATTAATGTCCGTCCAAGGTCCGATAAGGTAGATTGCTACGTGACACGGTGGAGGCTCTTTCTATATGAAAGCTTCAGTAAGAATAGTTGTATGCCTAAAATTTCACTACCTGGCTACTAAATACACTATATATCAGTATTATATCTGTCAGATGAGTTCAGTTCGTATACAACCACTTTTAATTCCTTTTATCCTTTTATCTTGATGCAAGCAAACTACAGTAAAATTCTCTTTTGGACTGCCTTAACATGGTTTTTTAGACACCTAAATATCGTCACCTCCAAGTAGAAAGGGTACATCTGAAAAAGTGCTGTTTTGAGTAAATCAAGAAAAACTGTTTAATGCTGTGCATTGTGCCCTTGCAAAGCAATAGTATGTTAGTATGTTGCTTAGACAACCCCCTTCAGGTTAATTAATGAACAAAACATAAATTTTCCGTTTTATCATTATAGAGGTCAATTAAATACGGATTGAAAGACAAGTTGTATCCTTTTAACTTGTTGTATCAAGTTGTACCCTTTTAACTTGCTGGGACCAAAGTTCGAGCATGTTTAATATTGGGGTATATCTTTATATATAAGTTTATTGAATAGCAGATCGAGTAGTGTTGTATATATATAGATTTTATTCTAATTTTAGTCGAGTATTTGAACAATTTGTTGTCGTTTAGCCATTTTTGATTAATAAATTTTATGAGACAGTTTTCTCACATATTTACCAATTTTGTCAGCATGAATAAGAAGTTGTTACTTTGAAACGTCGTTTATCCTAACAGTGCAATATCATTTGTCGCAAATCAGAATAATCAGAAACTATTTGAAAAACCCAAAAACTGTCTATTTATAATCTATATGTACCCTTTTAACTCAAAAGACTACTAATACTGTATCTGACCAAAAAGCCACACAATCATTTGAGTATAGTAGGTTTGTGATGTTATTTGGCTCCAGAAGGGTCTATACTCTATAGATCAAAAAATATTTGGGTGGAAAAATGTTTTTTTGTCTTCGAAGTCTGTGGCCACGCCCTTTTATAAGATCGTGGGAAAATCCTACAGTTTCCTAAAATAAATTCATATTTTGATAATAAAAGCACGTAGGTTAATCAAACCAATGTTTTTGGCTCGGGAAATCGATTGGCGATGTCTATTTGACTTTTAAACCACTCCCTGATAAGATAACCACGCCCATGCCATGGCCATATTCATAATTGATCAGCTTCAAAATTCCAGAAAATTTTAATGGTTTCCTTGGACAAATTGGATGTCGAAACTAATGATTTTGGCTCGGGAAATCGATTGGCGATGTCTACTTGACTCTCAGACCACTCCCTGATAAGATGACCACGCCCATATTAACAATTAATCTTCAAAATTTACAAAAATTTAAGTGATTTCTTGGACAAGTTAGGTGTTGAAACTGTTGTTGTTTTTTTTGGCACAGGAGATCGATTGGTTATGTCGTTTGCACGAAAATGCCACACAGAACTAAATTGAAACAGTTTTTTGAAATAGTTTGCATCAAAATAATATAATATTTAAACATACTGTAATGGCTATTAATGATAAAAATAAATAAAATCATAAGTATGCTTATTTGTTTTCGCAATTAATGGAAAGGCGAAAGTTTGAACATTTTGACCCCTCCGCTTTAACACAAAGATAATGTTTAGTTTTGCATCCAGTTTTACATCGGCAAGTGTTGCAAAGTTCATCAGGAATAAGGTGAAGTTGCTTGTTGGCATAAAGACCGCCCTCCTGATCTTCCCAACCGTATTCAAGAACATTAAGGAGGCAGCGTACATGTTCTGGTGTTAAAAGATTGGAACTTTCTTTCAAAAGGTACCACCATCTCCTTATATGCCCATTCCTAATAAAATAAGAGGTTGGAGGAAGACCAAGAGCAGAACCAGTTTTTTTGTGAACCTGAACTCTAAGGTCATCAAATGTTTTGACTCCATTTGAAGCTGATAACACATTCACAAGATATTCTTCTGCGACCTTTGGTTGATCCTCATCTAAAATCGCCGTTTTGCCAAAATTACAAAGACTTTTCTCCGGGTCAGCAGTCAGTGCACATCTCTTTGACCCCACTTTGATTAGGTGATCAGATCCTGTTGCTAGATGTGCACTGAGAATTTCTTGATAAAAGTCTTTTCCGAATCTTTCAAACATTATGTGCACAGGCAACATCCTTCGCTTCTCACCTTTACCAAGCTGCAAGAATAAGTTCTGTAACCCAAGACTATGAAATTCTTCAAAGTAGTGTAACAGAAACATAAAGTCGACCACAACAGCCTCATCGTTATATATTAGAAGGATTGCATATAAGATCGTCAGTTTTGAAGGATGCTTTCTTTTCAAGTTCCTCCCTCATTTTATTTTTGATTGGTTTTACCATCAAAGAACCGTTGAAGAGCGTACTATAGTTTGTAATATCATACTTAAGAACTCTTGCTAAATCTCCATCTTTACTTTTTGCTACAGAAACTAGAAAGGACTTTGCTACAGAAACGAGCAAGCCTTGAAGCTCGCTCGTTTTTCTTGATAGACGTTTCAGCGGCATCTGATTTAGCAGCTGTAACATGATCCACAGGAAGTAAATTTATCTTGCTGATCTTGTCTGCCAATAACCTTGTCTTTTCTTTGTAAACTGATTTTTGGAACTAGTCATACTTTTTAGATACAATCTCAAAGAAATCATAATGCATCTTGGCAACACTGTCTTCGGCATAAACTTGCGTAACAAGGTTTTTTATTTGTCGTGATTCTCCTTGCAGAATGGATTTCCTTGACTACTTATATAACTTGAGATACTGTCAGTGCGAGCATTGATCTCTTGAATCTTTCTAGAACTTAAATGATGATGGGAAGATGCATTGGCAGTCTCTGTGTTCCCTCCTTTATCCGAGTTTGTTATCTCCCTAAAGGTGTTGGTTATAGAGAGAACCTCGTGATATTCCGCAACGTATTCCTGTTTCCTAGTCTGCCCTATGATTCCGTGTGAACTCGTTGAACTACGTTGTATTGTTTGTTCAAGAGCAAGATCTGGCGACACTGCGTTAAAAGATCCCGAGGTTCTCTTAACTACAAAATGCTTTTTCAAAAAGGAGTCATGTAACTCTGGGTGAGTGTGCTTGACATTTTTAAGAAGCTCCAAGTAAAAAGAGTCGTTTCTCAAATAGTTTAGACTGTCACAACCAAAAAAGGTAAAAGGTCTTGAATGGTCTTCATATTCAGATCTCCATCTCTTTCTGATCGTATGAAGTTTCTTATGAGGTTCATGATTATCAGAAAGTTGAACCAATACTTGCATTGTGACGAGCTTTCCGAACAAATTTTCTCTAAACGATCAATATCCTGTTTTAACTAATTTACAGTATTGCAAGAGATCAGACATTTACGATTGAGAAAATGCCTTATTGTTGTCACAGAGAGCTTGCTGAAATCGTTCCAGCTTAACTATAGCATCAGAGTAGTTTTGCGGTGGGTGCTCTTTCCAAAAAGCCTTCATTTTCATTCTCGTCTTAGAATTGTAAGACCCCCTAAAGAACGATAGTAATGCTTTCCATTCATTACTGAATCTACAGTCTTCGGACCAAAGATTCCACATTCTATGAATATGTCCTCGACTCCAGAGTCCAGACCCCTTCAAAAATTTTCCTGCGCAGTGCAAGGCCGTTTTAGTCAAGTGGAATCCACCAAGCATGGGGAATATCTTCAAGAACAGTTCTGGCTGCAGGCTGCGGCAGGTAGATTTTATCCTATCTCACATTAATCACTCTTAACGGAAATTTTAGTTAAAATTGGGCGTGGTTATCTTATCAATGGGTGGTCTGAGAGTCAAATACCTTATCGGACCTTATTTGGACGGACATTACTTGAACGCTGGAGGCCCTAACGTTCATCTTAATGTCCGTTCAAATAAAGTCCGTTCAATTAATGTCCGTCCAAGTTAAAGTCCGTTGAAATTTTTTCAAAAATTTTTTCATTTCGAACTTTTTGTCCAGAATATGACAACTTT